TTTTCAGGACCATTTAATTCCCACAATGCATTCCGTGAAGACACTTCATTTGCGTACAAGAACTACATTCATCATGATCTCCTTGAAACTGGCCACTTGTCTTTCCAAATCTTTTACGGAGGATAGTAATTCAGCATTTCGTTTCTTCAGTGTCTGTTCTTCCAATTTAAGTTCCATAAATTTCTGCTGTCGCTTGCGACGTGATTTCTGGGAAGCTATGTTGTTTCGATCACGCTTCTTCCGATAATCGTCCAAATTTGCCTTTTCATTTTCCATACAATCAATTTCGCTGGAACATGATGAATTCGTCGAGAATGCAGATTTATTGAGCGATACCGAATAGCGATCTTCCAACTGCGATTTCAGTGCTGCAAATTTCACTTTTTTTTAGCTGTTCGAAGCTAAATATACTTCTGTACTATACCATTAGCGCCAAACGCATGAGCCGAAAATTCGGCAAGAAAGAGAGACAACAGATGGGCAAAGCGGATTACTGAATGATCCCCACACAATGTGGTAAATGAACGAAAAGGAAATCAGCAGTGTGGTCTAATATTTCACATAAACAATACATCGAATTATTTTTGATGCAAGGAGCTTAAAATAGGAGAGATTAGAGAAGCTGTTTGGTGTCTCAATAGCGAAAAGAAACACAACGATGAAACAAGAGCCGGCCAAGCACTGATGTAATATTAAGCGGATCATGGAGGGGTAAGTCGTGAGATGGAATGGTTCCATTCGTACGCTTATAATAAAATTGCGTGTGCGCAAGGCGAGAAAGTAAACGGCCACTCGGGCGATTTGGAGGTTCATAAGTGTCGAGTAGGGGTTATTAGTACTAACTGGAAGTATGCAATCCAAGATCGAAAGGCCTGGCACAGCTGCGCTTGGAGTGTGAGTGCATCATCACTAACATGGAATAAATACCCATATCGACTGCCCGAACAGTCTTGGTATTTTTGATATGTGACAAGTACGGAAATAATACCAACAGCATCGATATCGGAAACCGTTTAAGTGAAATACGGCATTTTCGCGCAACAAAGAAAATGTCGCTTATTTAGCGTTCTCCTGATAGTCATCGTGTTTCAGACAGTTTTACCCACAAACAAGCATTTGGAAAGCGACGTTACAGAAGATTCAAGCAAATGGAAGCCAGATGAATTTCCGTTAAGCAAAAATCAGATACGATGTCCGCAGAGTACCATGAAATGATTGTATTTCAACAACACCAAAGCTTCCTTACTCGCGTGGTTCAAGCAATCTTAGTGGCACTTTTGGGCGATCTTATTACGAGAACAAACAAACTTTCTTAGTATTAAGAGAACAGACAAACCTTCTTTATTAGTACAGTAAGGTTCGATATTTACAAATTTTTCCATATAATCCAATGATTTGGCAAGCGCTGACTCTCTTGCTTCCAGCACGTTATTCAGTGGCATCGTGGGAAAGAATTCTTCGAAAACTGCTATGTCCTGAAAACAAAAAAAAAAAGTAGGATTTCTTAATTCCTCTTTCTCAGATTGTTCATAGCAAAAATCACGCATTTTTTTACGTTCCACTGGCACTAACGCCGTTTGTTGCGGAAAATTAAGACAGGAGAAAGACTAATGAATGTTCTTAGATTCACGGATAATTGCTGAGATTATCTAAGTACAAGGCTTAGATAAAAATGTGTCCC